ACCGTGAGGGATAATCTTCATCGAGCCAATGCCAAATACAAGCTAGCTGCTGATGCTCACAGGCGGAGCAAAGTTTATTATCCAGGTGAATTGGTGATGCTACGAATGTGGCGAGAGCGCTATCCTCAGGGAACTTACTCTAAACTTAGTCCAAGAAAAATTGGACCGTTCCCTATCAACCGTAAAATTAATGATAACGCTTATGTTATTGATTTACCCTTGGATATTCACACTTCGCCCACATTTAACATCTCAGATATCTACAGTTATTATCCTCCTGACGATATGCAACCAATGGAAATCTCGTCGGAGTCGAGCTTCTCGGAGCCCGGGGAGAACTAATGTGGTCATCTATCTTACCACCTGGGCTTATTGTGCACCAGCGGACTACTTATTACATTGCACCCGCCACTTTCTTTTTTGCTGCACTTGCATTTCTGTTATCATAGTACTGTCCTTATGTTATTAGCTGTTTTCCTTTACTTAGTAATGTTTAGTTTTCTAAACCAGCTATATACTAGTTTTCCTGCAAAGAAGACGGTAGAATGAAAAATATACAAAACTTCTTAGGAAGCACTGTTCCATTGGTTTGTTCCTTTTGAGTTCTTGGTTCTCCTTCCTTGCTGCTGCACCAACTTATAGTCATGTTCTTGTGATTATCCCTTTTTCCAACAAAGTTTTTCACATTAATACCATCTATCAACCTTATTAGTGATTATTTTAATTATGGGTAAATAATTAAGATTAGAATAGAAGAGACACCTAAATTCCTTAATTTTGTATCCATAAGTTGATTTAAATTTGATAAATTATTGTTTCTTTATTGATTGAAGCTTTGTTAATTTTCTTTTAAAAATTGTTGATGTGCTCTATTTTCATAAGTTAAATATTATTGAGGCTTCTAATGATCATATGAAAGCTTGACGTCTTACAAAGATTATGGTGGACAATATAAAAGCTATAACTTTTGATGATTTATTTAATAAGTTTGGCACAAATGAATGAGTAAATGAGATATATAAAATTGCTAAGGTGATAGTTTGATAGATAAGAAATCTAGAGGCTTTAATCAAGTTAGAAGCATTAGAGTTAATCATAATATGATGTAACTTAAAAATAAAACATAAGAAAGGATAAAATACTATTTTGAAAATTATTAAATGAGAGTATTAAGGAAAAATTGGTCATTTTGGGACAACATAATGAACAAGGCAATGAGTTATATTTTAGATTAGCTAGAAAAAATTAACAATGAAAAAGATGCATAAAAGTAAATGTTTATATTGATATGCGATACCTATTTAAATTTTAAGAGCTATTGGGCATATTGTAATGTTTTTCCTAACAAATATTTTCATCGGATATTTAAGATTAAAAAGAAGCCAAATGATTGAAGAAGAAACATTTTAATGCCAATATATAAGAACAAAAATAGGCTTTCAATGTATGGCAATGATTGTTGAATTGAAGTTATAAGTATTGTAAGGAAGTTATGGGAGAGATTGTCAGAAGATATACTTATATAAATTTTGTTAGCTTTGTGGAATTAATTTATTTATATACTAGTAAAATTTAATATGAAAGTGATTAATGTGTTAATACAATTAATAAGAAAGTACATATTAGATAAAGGATTTTTTTATTATTTGTATTAATCTTAAGAAGTCATAAGATCAAATACTACAAGATATGATTTATAGCCCATTAAAAAAAGGTTTGTCAAAGTTATGTTGAAGTTATTACAAATTTATATAATGGAGTATTGACTAGTACTAGAATAGTGAGTGGCCAAAGAATTTTCAATTAAATGTGATTGCATCAATGCTAAACACTGAGCTCATCAAGGGTCAACTGCAATGATTTTGTTCAATAATATTTTCAATGAAAATCTTGAATATTAATATATGTCAAATGATTGGAGGATAACCATTTTTATACTAATACATAAGAACAATGGAGCCATTCAACATTTTGGTAAGTATCGTTGAATCAACCTTATGAGTATGTATGGGTGATTGATAGAAGATAGACTTATAGAAATTGTGTTGGTTTTGTAGAATCATTTTGGTTTTATATTGGGAATGTATACAAGTGATTTATGTATTAATGCAATTAATAATAATACAAAGTTGAGAAAATAATTTTTATACTATATTTATTAATTTTGAGAAGGCAAATGATCAAGCACCATAAAATTTGATTGGCGCCCTGAAAGGTCTATGTCAAATGTATGATGACATTATTACATATTTGTATAATGGAGTATTGACTGGAATTAAAAATAATGAATTGACTAAATACTCTTCCATTAAATATGATAATATCAATGATCAACATTGAATTCATATATATATTTTTGTACTTGTTATGGAGATGCTTTTAAATGATATTCAAAGCAGTGTTAAGGGCTTCTTGCAAGGGATCATTCATGAATTGTATGCCATAAATGCATATACTATATTCATACAATAGTCATTTAACTAGCCAAAATTAAATAACATTAGATAATAGTTTTCAGTAAATATAATGATGCATTCAATAATTATAATTTTCAGCTATCTAAAAGAAAAAAATATATAAATATTAAGTACTGAAAAATATTTAAAAATTAAGAATACACATGAAATTGAGTGACCGATTAGAAACCAAGAGGCATAGGAAATAAGAAGTGAGAGAGAATGTGAAGATGAGACATCAAGAAACATTATTGAGAATAAGCTTTTGGGCAAGAAGCTACTAACGCTAGAGGCAAGAACTAGGGAAGGGCATATAAGAAAACTAGGTGGCAAGAGCCTGAAGAGAAGAACTATCAAGAACTTGCTCCAATGGGAGAAAACATAAAACCTATGTGCAACGACTCAATGCTACGAGAAACAATGACCAATGAATGCTCGTACCTAGTTATTGTGGTAGATGTTGAACCAAACCATGAAATATGGATCTGGATTTTATTTTGAGTTAGAGCCTAGCTTATAGTGCTATGACATGTCGTGGTGTAGTGGTGTGATCCATGCACTTTACTGTGAGCTTACGCTTCACTGTCAAGCAATGTGCAGGGTCAGTGCATTGCTTCATTTTTATCCTAAACGCACTTTGAAGTGCACATTCAATAACATTTATTTGTAATGAGGTGTTTTGGTGCATGCTTTTCCTATATGATAGTTTTAAGTGGTGAGACTTTGTTTGTTTTTTGTGATCAGATTGTATCGATCAATGACTTTTACTGCTACCTTAGACCTTAATTCTATTGTCGAGCTTTGTTGGGGGATGCGGCGGTCCTCTTCCTGCTTGAGTTATTCACCTGATTTTTCCGTACTGCAGTACAGTGTTGTGGTGCAATGTACTTGAGTGCTACGATGCTATATAGTTTTCTTGGAGACTGATGGAGAGTGAAGCTCCAGACCCCGGCGCTGCGACATTGTCAGATAGAAAATAGACATAGAGTAGAGCATCGTGAAACTCCAAACTTGGCGCCACGATGATGTAAGGCAGGATGACAGTTTTATTACTCGTTTTTCTTGAAAGGTTGCATCCCTTGGTGATTTTATCGAGTTTCTCTTTGTTTTGTTTGCAAGAGAACGGTGCAAGAGTGAAGAGAGACAAGGAGATAGTGAGAGAGAAAAAGATATGTACAAATTTCTCATAATTTTCATGGTGAATTCTTGGTGAGGTGTGACTTCGTTGTTTTTTACCGGTTTCGGATTTTTCCACATTCGGTGCGTGTTTTACCTCCCCAATAGACTTCTATTGAAAAAAGTGAAAACTTAAAACAATAGACTAAATATTAAGAAGAAAAAGAGCTTAAAGTTTGTAGAATGAAGATTGAATATATAAGATGCAGTTTTAGTTAGTGTAATATTGATAATCATCAATTAATATTATTTGAAGGTAAAGTGATACGTTGTCCTGATAGGTTTAAGCATCCTTGTCCAAAAAATGAAGATTTAACTTCTAGAGCTAAGGATGAGTGATAAAATATATATATATAAATAGAGTGATGCCATGGAGCTTAAATATAATTTTATAAAAGTATAATGAGGTCAGCTATGTTATATGGATCCACATAGACAATAAAAAAAGGACATAAGTATCAAAGTAGTCTATTGACTCTACGTGAATGACCAAAATAGCCTCTGATTATTTAAAAGTTTTATTTTAGTGTTTTAATTTTTTAAATAAGGATCTAATTGATCCCACAAAATGACTAATTTGATTTTTATTTCAAAGGGACCAACTTGGTACTTTTATATTGTCAGAGAGTATTTTGGTCCTTCAGGATAAATTTAGGGGGTCAATTTGGTCTATTTTGCATAAAAAAGTAATTGATAGCTAGCTTGAGCATAGTATAAATGAGAACATTAGGATGCTTGAAAGAACAAATGATTATATTTAAGGATGATTGGAGTGATATCCTTTGAAAATAAGTTTGTTATAAGTAAACTTATGTGGCTTTGAAATATAAAGTTAAGTGTAGAAATTGCACCCTTTTGACAGGCAAAAAAAATATTGTCAAAGAATTAGGAAGGAATAGGGATTGACCAAGGTAACATGGCTAGAACTTGTTTAAAATGATTACTGAAGAATAGTTTTAACACCATAGGCAACATTTAACAGGAATAAGTGTTAACAGGAAAATGAGAATTCATGAAACCAACTCAACATACTTTGCATATTGCTAATGTTGAAGATGATAATCACTATTGCATTTTTTAGTGAAATGCTGTGCATCTAAATTACATTTGGTGCGCATAGTGGTTATTTTGGATGGTTTTTTGTGAAGTCATCATATTGTATTACTGACATTTTTTTAATTAGCATTCATCATGTCTTCATTAATGATGATATGATTTCAATTGATGCTGTAAAACTCACTGTGCTAAATAATTGGCTTTTTGTTAATTCTATCCTCACTAAGAGTACACTAAGTCTATGAACTCTTGTGGATGTTTTAATACTGCATATTGATGAGGTTTGTGAATTCTTGTGAATAATGTATGCAGAAATTTCGCTCGATCGTGACTCTTGCTGCACTTTCTGTTGCAATATTTATTACTTGGAAACTTTTGAGAGCTCCACCTCCCCGTCAAAGAAGACAACCTAGACAGTCCGGTGAAGTAACAGCTGTTTCTGGTGCCAGATCTAGTTCAAACTCAGGTCTGACATCATCGGAATATTGCTCTTCCTCTGCCGAGTTAAGATCACATAACAGAGTTGATGAGCTATTCCTGCCTGGAAAGGTATATGGCATGTAACATAGTAACCATCAATGTAGATGATTGGATGTTAAGAGTTGGTTGCCTTTTGCAGCATACTCTGGCACAAATTGTAAGGTATAGGCTGAATGAAGGGCGCAAGGTAATTTTTTTTGTTTGTTTTGGTTCTAAAATTGTGTTCATAAAAGCTCTAATGGCATGCTCATTTACTCATGAAAGTGAGGAAAGTGAGTGTAGGATATTCTCTCACTTGTTAGTTTTAAAATAAGCGTGAAAACTTCAATTCCCAATTCCCAATTCCCAATTCCCAATTTTATTGTCTTCGAAGTGGGCTTTGCTTCGAAAATGATTGAAAGAAATGCATCCTTGGCGAGGTCAATAAAGGAACCCTTTATTCAAGGGGAGGGTTGACTCGCTACTATAAAAGGCTTTTCTTGTCATGAAACTATATTCTTCTTGGTAACAAACAACCAAAAAAAACTTTGTTCGGCACTTTCTAAAAGTCCAAGCCTATTATGGAAAGTGGCTTGATGGTAAACAACCCAAAAAAGCTTTTTTCTCATCATTTTCTTAAAGAGCGAAGCTTCTTATGGAATGTGGACTTTCCATAGATTCATGTGTTTTCCCTTAGAATAGAAAAAGGCTTTTTTTCCCCATGAAGTTTGTAATTTGATTCCGATACATATTTAATTAAATCCAAGATCTTGTGTTTTCTTTTTGTCATTGAGCTATATCAATCATCAAAAGTTATGTCTTCTTTGTAATATGGGGTTTTCTGACTTCAGGTTACATGCCAATTGCTGGGTGTAATCCTTGAGGAGACCACTCCGGAGGAGCTTCAGGTGGGTGAGCATTACCTTTTGTGGCCTTCTTTAAATTATAACCGGCCACCTCCTTTTGGGAGCAAGACCGTTTTCATTCAAACCAGTTATTGTTGTGTGGAAAGGACCTCTTTGATTTATCTTTAGTATAACTGATGGAACTGGTTATGGCAGGAACATGCAACGGTTAAATCTTCTGTCCGGGAGGTGCTACTAGAGATAACAAAATTCTGTGATCTATATCTTATGGAAAGAGTTCTTGATGATGAAAGTGGGGTGGGTTGCACTAATTATGTCAATTTCCTTTGTTGAACTTTTTATGGCATTTTTATATTTTTTTCATTCATTTTCTTTTCTATATATTGAGTCACCTTCATAAAGTTTGTTTAATTTTAAGATGATTCAAGCAGCATTGTACCTGTTCTTTTATTCATAATACACTTGATGAATGAAAGTGTGGTGGGTTGCAACAGTTTTCAATAACTTTCCAGAAAAGTTTTTGGTATCTACATTTTTGTTCAGGCAATTTTCATGCGTGTATTCAAAGTCACATGCATAAGGTTGAAATGCTTATTTGTTTTGCTTAGCTAGTGTCATTGTTATTTGATAACTGTCATGCTAGATTTTTAAGCTTATATAAATTGTAATGTTCTTCTCAAATTGAACTTGTAAATATCCTCAATCTTTCCTTTTAGCATGAGGACTTGCCAACTTAGACGACAGCAACGCCAACATAAAAAACATATCTATTTTTTCTTATCCACTTGTTTTAAATATAAAACTGAATTGTAGCATATTACTTTTTTGCGTCTGTTTCATCGTATGATAATGGATAATGATTGTTAGAATGAATGCATAGTGAATGTGATTGATTGTTGTCCATTCATAGTAGATTGGAAAACTGAGTTTGTGATTGGTTTTAGAAGCTCCTTAACAAGTTAACATAAGCAAATGAAGTTGTTCAACATAAACTTTAGGCTATTGACAAATCTGTTTGAGAAATGGCTATGATGTAGCTAGCCGTTTACGCAACATACATTTATTTTTAAATTTAAAATTTTATTTTATCTTTTTTAACACCTAATTTTAAAGATTGACAACTTATGATATTTAAGTTTAACCATCTTATCTTAAGGTACTTAAACTTTTCGCTATTATTTTATGTTTTTAGAAATACATTTATAACTATTACATTCTATATTGTTTAGTTGACATTGCTTCAAAATATTTTCTTTCTTAAGCTTGAATGATTAGCCATTAGTGGGAGGTAGTTTGAAAGTGGAGGATGGCTAAGCCATTTATAAGAACACTATTTAGGTGTACGGATTTGTAATCATGCATGTAATACATAAAAACACATGCATGCACATATAATATATATAATTTTTTTTCTGTAAAGAAAATTATTTATAGAGAAAATTACTGAATTGGTCTCTTAATTTTTTTGAAGGGCCAAAATAGTCTCCAGCTATATAAAAGTACCAATTTGGTCCCTTCGCACTTTAAATAGCGACTTTTGTGAGATCATTTAGGTCATTATTTGATAAGTTAAGGGATAAAATTGGAACTTGTAAATAGTCAGAGATTATTTTGATTTTTTTAAATATTCAGGGAACTAGTTTTGTCTTTATATCTTATTTATGACATAAATTATATATATATATAATATTTCATATGTTATTTAATAGTTTAAAAACATGATATTATCAAATAATATTATTTGTAATATTATTAGTATAAATGCAAAGTATATATATTCTTGTAGGCATTTAATGTGATAATAATGTTTGAAGCTCAAACTCCTATAAATCTTGAATTTTGATTGATTCAAAGTTGAGAATTATTTGATGCAATTCGAGTTTGGATTTTTTGAAAATAGATTGGTTCTACTAGGAATCAACTCGATATCTATATAATATATGTATATTTGTTTATCTAGATACATAGAGCTTATATGATTACATACATAAGTGCATTATGTTCACATGTGCACATGATTATTATTTGTGTTTGTATGTGTGCAATTGCATATAAGCATATGTGTTCTTTTGCATAAAGAATGTTTATCTCCATGTTTATTTATTTTTTTTAATATTTACATTTTATTAACATGCTATCATATCAGATACACACAAATATTCTTACATATAAGTTAAATTTGGAATTACAAATATATATTTTGAAGATAATTCAAAATTCAACCAGTAATCAACCATCTTTGTGTCAACTCAAACTTGCTCAATTTGAAGTTGACATATTCAAACATGAATTGAGGCTAAATTGCTAGAACTTGACTTGTTGCTCCTCTACATGTGTGTGTATATATATATATGTGTGTGTGTGTGTGTGTGTGTGTTGCAAATCATAGTTGATTTTTAGTTATACCCAACCAAACTATGGATCTAGCAAATTTTACCATTTTCTAAATCTTTTTTTCTAGCTTCAAGCAATCAAATTGGCCCTGATATGAACTAAGCAAACCCTTTGATTAAATTAATTATTGGTTTAGTTGCTTCTCTTTTGATTGTGACTAAATGTTCTTGTTTTTGAAAGACGTCTTCATCATACCTAAATCATATCATTATCATCATCATTAACCTATTTCTACTAATCCATATTGAAACCAAGTATAATTTGTCTATCATTTTTCTATTTCGTATTCCATAAGCACCATGAATCTTCTCTTATCCCTGTTCATTCATGAGCATATACATTTCATTCAAATTATCACAAATAACTAATTATTTTTCTTTCTTCAAATATGTATTGTGGTTGTTCATGCATTTATTTCTGTTTTTTTCCCAAACATCTTCTAATCCAACTGGAGGAAAGTAACCACTAAATACAATTAGAAGTGATAGCATAGAAAAGTATCAAGTTTGGAACGAAAGCTATATGTATTATGTGACACACATTTATTTAATTGTTCCTTACAACATTGCACAAATCCTTTTATTATAAAGTGAGGGGTCATCTAGTAAAGAAGATATAATAAAGAGTTTTCATCTCCATCATGGTATTGGAATAGGGTTAGACCAGCTGTCGTCCCTCTTTTCAACCCTTCTTTTAAAACCCCTCTCTTCATTCTATGATAGCCTTAGCGCTGCTCCTACCAAATCTACTTCCCAATGTCTGCCCACAATCCCTAGCCTATCTTATACTCGCTCTTTTGAGTTTGCAGTCACGTGTCTTGCCCCTCTCTCAAGGCTCGAGCTGATGCTCCCTTCCGCATGCATATGCATATGCCTATGCTCTTACCTGCATCCATAGCCTTAGTCATTGCTCATGACCAAGTCAAACCCCCTTGCCACAAACATGGCTACTAGATTTATGGTTGCTTAAAACCCTTTCCTTTTGTTAAAAAGGAATGAGAAGTCTTTTGTTGCCAAGTTTATATCTACACTTGATTCATCATTACAATCTTATCACGTTCAATTAATGGAACACTCAGTTGCCCCAACATCTCCACTGCTGTCTATTGTTCATTTGAGTTATCTGCTCCACCCTCTTCTGATCATGATCTTATTTCACTTTTTGCTAAAATAGGGGGTAAACATAGTCATCATGGATGAGGTGCTGTGGTGGTTGTGGACGCAACTCCTTCCCACCTTATTAGTCTTGTGAAAGAGCAATTCACTTGGTTTATATGAATTCTCCACATGGGTCCATATACAAATGATCATAGCTCCAAGTATGTTTAGTGAAATCGATCTTCGTCTTTATTGTTCCTACTAAATTGAATTACTTGTAAAAATACTTGGCAAAGTATCAGGTGACATGACATAACATATAGTAAGCGACGTACAAGTCACATAGGCTCACTATTTTGGTTGATGTTACCATTCTATGTTCTTTATCCTCATAAACCTTAATTTCATTTTTGTCATATCTTTGGACTTTGGGCATGATTGATTTGTACACTCTTTTTGCTTGAGCTATAAAAACTCTACATTGCGCCATTTAGTGCATCTTTTTGGAATATTTACATACTAAAAAAGAATAGAATTACGATCAAACTACACGATGAATTCATGTCATTTTCAATGTTACCTCTTATGTGATATCTCCTTACTTCTCACATACTTCATCTTCTACCAACACTCTAATTCCTCTACATTCTATATGGTGTTTGCTTCTCCTCCCTTGTTGAGTTTATAATCATAGAATACATCTATATCTTATTGAAGCACCTCCCTCCATCTAGTCTGTTAATTTTTTTTTTTAATTTTTTTTAATTTTTTATTTTTTTTTAATTAATGGTTAAGAATCTGCTTGAAATTGAGCTATGGATCTACATCTTTCTATTGCTTTATATAAATGCTAATGTATTGGCCATCCACTATACCCTTTTATATTATTTGAACATATATCATTGGGCACTTCCCTGGATCACTTCTAAAACGCAACCCCTTTGTCATCTTCTCCTGTATCTCCTTTTCTGTCAGCTTTTTGAAATTTCCCTCATTTCCCCCTCCTTCAGCTCTCTCCTTGGGCACTTATAGTCCCCTCCTGTGTCAAGGCAAAGAGTTTATTATAGAAGTCTCATCTCCTACCGGTTCGGAAACGTTCTAGTAAACAATCTTTGAACTCCCTCCAGTTTCGAATGGGTTGCTCATGTCTCGCCATTGGTACCATGCCAGTGCCTTCCACTCCAAACACAATTCTGCTGCTGTTAGCTTCTCTTCCTTTGTCAACCTGTTGATAACAAAATAACATTCCACCTTATAGATCCAGTCGTGGCCATCCTCACCCTCAAAGATGGGCATCTTCAGTTTTCTCATCTTTGGATCACCCTTGTTTCCTCTGAATCCTCTATAACCTCCCATATCTCGAAAAGGAGGTGCCGCCCAGCTGTCACGATCTTCTCTCCGGCGATCATCACCACCATCTTCATCAAATTCCCCTATTCTTCTTTCAAAATCAACACCTCGGTGGTAAAAATCTCCCATTCTCCCAACAAATTCAGCACCCCGTCTTTCGTAGCCCATACTCATCTCTTCCCTAGAAAATGATTCTAGAGGAGACATTCCGTCATCTCCCTCGAGGATCTCCACTTCCGGATTCTCCCTCCCCCTCAACGGGTTCGGATTTCCTCCTCTAGCATGGCCGCTGGAAGTAATTTATGCATCGAGCTGTATCATGTAATCGAGCTGTATCATGTAGAAGAAGAAAAAGTGGCAAAGGTGTCTGAAGTAATTTAATACAGTTTTTCCCCTTTGTTATGATTTTCCTTGAATGAGTTTACACATTGAATTTGTTGCATCAAAATTGTGGTATTATTAATGTCGCATGGTTAGTAATCCAATCAAATTCGAATTCTGTTTTTACCTTTTCTTTATAACCGGATGGGATTTATTGGAATCATGGGTATAGCAAATCAATTTTCATATTGCTTATGCATAAATTGAGCATCTTCTAATACCTTTTTTGATATTTGTTGCTCCAGTCTCTTTCCGTATCACACTAGAATGCATATATGTGAAATTAATTGATTATATAATAAAGAATAGTTTGTTTTGTAAAAACTAAAAAACGTGGTACATTTTCTTAACTTGAAATGTTTATGTTAGTGCTATTGAAGCAGTAAAGGCTAGGACTGGCAGTTTAAAAACATAACTCTGCTGGAACAGTTTCCTCAGTATCCTGTCTTTTATTTCTAATGGTTCTAACCTCTCTGATTTGAACCTTGAATTGACTATAAAATTGGCCATATAAAAGTGGAAAAATTCTTTTTATTGTTTGAACTATTCTCCTATTGGCGCAGGAAAGAGTTCTCTTGGCTTTGAAAGATGCTGGTCTGTTTACATCAGGTGGTTTAAACAGTGAGAAGGTAAAACTTTTTTCCTTTTCCTTCAACTGCATTCTATTGGACATTGGAGTGATAACTACAATTCGATGAGTATAAAGTTATGCGGAAGGAAGCAATAACCTCTGGGAATCAGGGAACCATTCTGTACATCTCTTGTTTAGATTTCTTTATTGTTATGCTGTTTTTAGTCCATTATTTAGTCACTTTGGAAATGTCTTTAATCGATTTATTTTATATTGCAAGAATGACATTATTGAAAATTTTAATGCTAAAAGAAGATCAAATTGGAGAAGATGACAATGGGCATTGTGAACTAGTATTTTAGCTTAGATTCTTGAACTACCTTCTTTGTGCTTACAAGCTATTCTCTGCAACTATTCGAGAGGCAACTTTATAAGGATTATATGAAAGAAGATTTATTTCCTAATGTCTAATACTTAGTTTTTCTAATACTTGAGCATTTAATTTCCTTTCAAGAAGAAAAGTTTTTCTTCATAGCACGTGCCCATGTTATCATCGTCATACTGTCTGCTCTATTTTAATTCTTAGACTTAGGCTTCGTTTGAGACGGCTTTCTTTATGCTTCTTAAAGCAGATTCCTAGTACAAAAATTAAATTTTTTTACTAGGAAGCTTCTTTAAGAAGCAATAAGAAAGCCGTCCCAAACGAAGCCTCAACCTTTTTTTTTGGTGGTTTGTTTGGGCATGATTTGGCCTGTATGTGGCTGATTTTCAGGTTCTCTTCTGTAGTACGGAAAATGGGCGTATTTCTTTTGTGCGGCAGCTAGAACCAGATTGGCATATTGATACAAACCCAGATATAATACACCAGTTAGCAGTGAGTACTTATTTTTACACTTCTTTTTTCTGTTTATATTTTCATCTGTTTTTGTCATTTGTTCAGAGGTTCATCAAGTATCAACTTCACATTTCTCCAACGAGAATTGAACGTGCTGCACCTAATGTGTTCAGTGCCACATGCTTGGAGCATTTCTTTGGGATTTTGGATTGAAGCTAATACCTGCTGCAATCAATTGCAGGCCATTTGGCTGCATGCAAAGCTTTCAAAAAAAAAAAATTTTTTTTTTTGGGTGCAATATGAAAGTTAGAATATTGGCATTGGATGCAAAGTTTTATAGATTTGACTTTTGTTTTCTCTTGTATGAGTAAATTGTAAGGACCATATAGTCTCCTGAACAGAACAAGTGCAGCTATATCTGCAGGTGTGCACAAATACTCAAAGAACTTATTCGCTTATAAGTCACGGTTCATATCCTATTTCTGAAATATCTAGAAGCAATCCAATGTTTATTTATTATTTATTTATTTATTTTTAAATGAGTTTAGATAATTGATTATAGTCTATTTTCCTTAGGTTATCGATGGAATTTTTTGTCAGCAATAGCCATTTATCTTGCAGTGGTTGGAAATGCCATATAAGTAATAATTGGTAATATGTCTAGTCATTTTTCTCGTAGGAGGGGAAAAAAGATGAGGGCATGAACTATGACATGATGTGGCATTCCTAAGCCGTGTAATGCTTATTATTATATATAATGCTACATATTCCAAGTAATGCTTCTAACTAGATATTGCCAACTCTCCCTGGTACTGTACTCTACAATAATTCTTTACCCTCCTTTTTCCTTCTTGTATTTTTTTTGTTTGTTAGTTTTCTCACCGCTCCTTAAAAAGTTTCCGCCACTGTTGAATATTGCATTTCATCTGCTCTTGCTCTGGAAGATGGTGCCTGCCTCGGCTCTGCATCCGTCTAATCGGAGCACCCCCATCGATGTCGGTGGCAACACAGGCTAGAACTTTGATAAGAACATAGTAATAATCCCAATCATCCTTCTTTGTGCCCTACTGTATGCGTTAGGATTGTATTCGCTTATTCGATGCGTTCTATGGTGGAGTCAGCGGCTCTCGTTCGAGACTACAGAGGCAACAACAACACAGCTAGCGATGACAAGATTGAAGAAGTGCAACCTAAGGCGGATCCTAGTGGCAACCTATAGATTCAACACAAATATATTGACAACTAAATGCCCAATTGGCCTAGTTGAGTTCATCGAAGGAGAGAAGGTCTTACTATCGAGGCTGCAACCATATGTTCCATGTTCGATGCATCGACATATGGCTTTCCTCGCACTCATCCTGCTCGACCTGCCGCCATTCACTCCTCGATAGATCTATAGCCAATGTTTGCATCGATGTTGGGGAACTACCGCAGGAGAAGGATGGCAACCCACCAATTGTAGAGTTGGATGATGTTGGGGAACTTTTGAAGAAGGAACAGTGAGAAAACTAACAAACAGAAAAAAATAAATCCAAGAAATAAAAAGGAGGTTGAAGAATTATTGTAGAGTACCTGGGAGTGTCGGCAGTATCTAGTTAGAATTATTACTCGGAGCCTGTAGCATTATATAAGCATTACATGGTTTAGGAATGCCACATCATGTCATAGTTCATGCTCTCATCTTTTTAGTTAGGTGTCTCCCCTTCTATGAGAAAAATGATTAGACAGACTACCAACTATTACTTATATGACATTTCCAACTACTGCAAGATAAATGGCTATTGCTGACAAAAAATTCCATCCAAAAATTTTAGGCGAAGGAAACTCCGGAGCAGCTGAAGTCTCAAACAAAATATACCTAAAAGATCACGATTTGGGCTTCCCATCCAAAAATCTAGGGTCACTCAAATGATTCACATCAATCAAAACCGAAAAACCGGCCGAAGGAAGAAAATTGGAAGAAAACTCCGATGAATTTAAAGAAGAACGAAGAAATTTACCCAACCGAAGCAACACCACAGCACAGACCAAGCCGAGAAGAAAGCCTTAGATATTGCGAGTTCCTGATCATCAAAATCCTCAATAAGAAGCTAGCATCTATGAGTTAGGGCTCCATAGAATATTAAAATTACAGTTCATGACACTTACAGAATTGCGTTATTATTTTAATATAATGGCTCTACTGGTAGTTGTTTATATATTACTACTATTTATTGCAGGTTTCATAGAAAATATCATAGTTGATCTTACCAATTATTTTTCTTAATTTTTACTATAGGATCGAATAATTGTGAAATTTTTTCCATTTGTAATTATATGCATAAAATTAATCAAGGGAAGTTATTCATGAAAAATTCGTTCATAATTCTATCAGAAACTTACTGATAGAATTTCATAAACAAAAAATATACGATATATTATTAACTAAAATTCTATCGCAATTTATGATGGAATTACATTCGATCAAGGGGTGTCAAATAATTTTTTTAAAGTATTTTGAAAATTGATGATTGTAAAATTTAAAAGTTTTAGGGAGGATATAAATTATCGACATTGATTTAAGAAAATTGATGGTTATAGGTATGATTGAGATATTTTACAAAGGATATAACTGCGAAAGATGAATTTAAATATTCTCTATTAATTTAGAAAAATTGAAGGATTTTTATAAAATTTAGATGTTTTAGGAAGGTTATAATCTTGAATGATGGATCAACAATTTTAATTTAGCCCACATAACATAAATTTTAATTTAATAAGTCATTATTCGTATATATCCTTTCATTAATTGAGAAAATTGATGGTAGTAAAATTGAGAGGTTTTAAGAGGATATAAATGTGATTGGACTGCATGACTTTATTGAGGGAGAAATTATTCTGTGCGGTCACTGGATCATCCTGAGGCGAATAAGGATGAGTCATGTCACCCTGTACACAACAATACACAACAAAAAAATGATGTGGTGCGTCTTGATTCGCCTCCGGATGACGTCCGGTGACCCCACAGAATAGTTTCTTATTGAGTGTTCATAATACACTATATATTTTGCCTATGCATGAGCAAATGTAAATATAATAAAAAAAGAAAATGTATTGTGATGTTTTAGGATGGATATAATTGTGAATAGATATAAATCTTCATTATTAGTTCAGGAAAATTGATGGATTTCTATAACATTGAGATGTTTAAGAAGGAAGTAACTGCGATTTCAATGTATTGCTTGATTGAAGGAGGCATAATTTTCTATATATATATTGCTTTGTAGATTAGAATTGAAATTAAAGAAAATGAAAATCTTTCCTTATCTGTATTAGCCCTTTTGATTAATGGGATCTGATTATAATTCCATGGCTTCACAACAAAGGTAATGCTTTTATACGAAGATGAAGAATAAGAGAAAGTAAAAGATCATGAGACATATCTCAATTGAAATGATTCCACTAACGTGAGTCATGTGCTGCAAATGATGTCCTTTATTGTGATTAGAGCCGCTATACATTAACAGTGGAAGTAGAAGAAACTTTGTAGTTTTGGAGATGTCATGAAGTAATCTTTGATAGTTTGCTTGATCGTTTTCTCATATGAGGAGATACTAGTGACGAAAAAGAAGAGCATCAAACTTCGCTTGATGATGGGCGTCGATATTGATGTTAATTTTATTTGTCTTAGTATCAATGTTGAGCATCAACCTTGATGTCATTAATGGTGTACATCAACTTTATTGGCAATGATGGGTGTTGATGCTGGCATTGCATTATTGATAGCATGCATCAATCTTGTTAACATGTGCAAACATCAATATTAGTGTTAATTGGCTTCATAGGTTAGCCATGTAGCGAAGACATACAATGACCTTGCTACATCAATGGGCATTAGTGGGAATATCAATGGAATGCATCAATTTTGTTGATGATGGGTCGAGGTTGTTGGCCACAATGAGTGGCAAGTTTTATGGCATCCATGTTGGTGTCAACTTTGTGCATCAATCTTATTAAAAATTGTATGTCTCAATAATTATATTGATGATATGTATCAACATTGATATTAAGGACGTGTATCAACCTTATTTTTTTTATTGAAGAAATTGATGTTGGTGTTGATGACGTGTGTTGACCTTATGATGATGGCTTGCATTGGCCTTCTGGCTAAATTATGTCATGATTTTTTATTAGCATTGACGGGCATTAGTGTTGTTATTGATGATATGGATCAATCTCATTGGAGATCGTGTGTGTTGATGTTGGTGTCATGATATGTATCAATCTTGTTATATATGACATGCGTCGATTTTGTTGGTGACGGCATGCATTGACCTTGTTGTTGATTGTGTGTGTCATGATTGCTGAGATGGTAAGGATTGGTGTTAGTGTTATTGACGTGCATCAACCTTTTGAGTTCTTCTCGCTGTAATGCTCATTTTGGATGTGAAGCATGTAATTTGGTTCCTCAAATTAATAGTGTCATGAAGTTCCAACTATATTTCAAGTGTTGAATTAATAATGAATTTTGCTCAGCCCAACTATGACCAGCAACCTGTCATGATTAGGGCTGCAAGCGAACCAAACGTTCGACGAGCTACTCGTTGTTCGGTTCGATTAAAGCTCGTTTGTGATCATTTAATTAACTAAACAAAAAAACTTGAACAATATTTAAAATACTCGATTCTTAAATAAACAAACTTGAACACTAATGCGTTCGGCTCATTTATGTTCGTGAACAACATCATTTGAAGTTCGTGAACAAGCTTGACATTAAGCTCGATAAAAGCTCGATTCATGTTCGATATTGAACTCGTGAATAAGCTCGATAAAAATAACTAATATTTGACTATATAATTAATAAATATAAATAATCATTACCTTTGTTACATAGACAATTGCTTTATTATAAATGTGTTTGTTCATAGATATGTTTATGAACTTATTTGTTTGATAGTTAAAAAAATTCGTTAAATATGTTCGCGAACAAGCTCGATAAACACTAAACGAACGAACATGAACTAAACATGAACCGAATATGAACACTCCTTAATTTAAATGAACCAAACATGAACACAAATGCTAAAGCTTGAACAAACATGAACAAAACTTGAACAAGCTTATATTAAATGAACAGAAACATGAACACTCATATACTCGACTTGGCTCGGTTCATTTGCAGCCCTAGTCATGATACTAAACTTCAAACAAACAATACAGTTATCCACGCAGCTGCTGCAAATGAAGCCATGTTTTGTAATGAATTTTGTCTAAGCCATGTTAGCTTATTTTTGTTATCTGTTGTGTCTAATTTTGGTTT